ACTTTCAGGGGTACAGGGGATCTCAGAAATTCGTCGGTTCAAATAAGCCACAACCATTCTGCCACCCAAGTTAAAATTTGTTTACCTGTGCCTACTGAATCACATTTCTGAAGACTAGATTTTCGAGAAATAAGAGCACAGCTGCTGCGTTGTGACGTGATCGAGCATCCCCAAATTCCTACAGTGCCATCGTTTTTAGATGCCCCTTGGAAGGGCCGTTAGTATTATGTTATTCCTTCCTTCATCATAGCTAAGTTAACAACAGCCTAACCACCAGGTTAGTTTTTCCAGAGTGAAGAGTTAGAAGGTATTGTGGCCAAAGTGCAGCTCTAGCAGCATGGATGGCCATGCAACAATTATTAGCGTAATTCTGATTTGAAGGCAACCAGGAAACGACCTTGAAATTGTCCAAGTGGGTAGCCGACTGGCTCCTTGGAACCTCGTATCTGCTGCTAATGTTATCTGTGCATATGATCTTCCAGGTTAGCAGAGTGCGGTCATTTCACTTCCCTTAATTCCAAGCTGGGCATTTTCAGCAAACAGGATCGCTTCTGGAGTTCATGTGAGCTACCAAAGCTGGCATATCTTTCTGGCTTTATGGTACTCATTGAACCTTTCATGACGAAGTATTTCCCCTTGCTCATGCATCTTTCAGCGTGAAGATCGGGATGGAAGGTGCAGGCGGGTTAGCTGTTTGTATGGCCCACACTGTCTTGCACGAATCTAAAAAGATCATCAACTTGGGGCTCTACTTCCTAGTCCTATAAGCGGACACTGATTATGTTTCATTTATTTTGTAATCTAGTAGGTAGGCGTCCAGCAATTACTTCAGTGACAAAAATCGAGTTTGTATTGTCTGTGCAATTCGAAGATGTCAACACATTTTTATAATTCATCAGGCCACCCAAGAGTAAACTGAAGTCCTTGAAATTATCTTTTTGGCCCCTGCCCACTTACTCTGACAGTGTCAAGTACACTCCTGGAAATCATGGTGTCAAGTTAGAGAATAGCAATCCAAGAAAGTGAACACACCAGCGACTTTGAACGCGAACTGCCGTTTGACTACGCGATATGCCATTTTCAGCGTCACTGTGAATGCTGTGCACGAAGTGAGAAGCAGATTTCATCCTGATATGGTTTTAGAATACTGTTATTTATTTATTTATTTTATTAAAGCTTGATTCCACACAGTATTTTGGTGCAAGTATGAAAATTTCAGCGTGTGATATCGGTAGCCCAAATTTAGCGGGCCGACCATAGATATCAAGTGTGCGTCGGCGGGGGATCGAACCTCGGGCCATGTGCATGATCGGCGAGAGACCTAACCGTTGTGCCACCGACGCACGTACTCGTGGATGGTCTTTTAAAAGCTGTTCGGAAGATATTTATGGACATGCATTTAAGCGTACAGACTTCCGCAGATTTATGATAATGATAATGATAATAATTTATATTTCGTATAAACGGGTGAGTTTTCAAGAAATGTATGCCATTTTTACAGGCATGATCACTTATGTTATAAATTACAATCCTGAAGTATCATAAATTAATAGTTTTTCAAAAGTTTAGAGTTCTACATGGTAGGTTGCACACTTAATTGATGCATTTTGGGGAATTTTCTCTTCCAGATAGAAACCAATACTTTTCACAGTGCTTTTCATCTGCAGATACTGGACACTCAAGAGTAAATTGAGAACGGCAGCTTCACAGATAGAGAATTGTTTGGCATCTATTATCTTACCCGCTTATAAGAAATAAATTATTATTATCAATGATATCAACACTACAGAGACGTGACGTGGAAAGCAACAACATCATGCAGATCTTAGGAGGGAATGCGATCGTCGTCCATGTAGACGGAACAGCTTTCAAAGATAAAATGCAACTTTTGCCTAACCGAAAGACTGTCCTTTTCTAGATTTATTCATTCCTCAGCAAACAGTTTTCATCAAACCTATCAGTCATGACCTCGAACATATCATAACTAACATGAAGCATCTTGTTACCGCCACTTACCCTAGTTTTGCCTTCCAAGTATTTCGTCCTTCCCTTGGTCAGAGTTGTTGCTAAAATAAGAACCAGAAGCCATATGCGAAACAAAGTAACTCTTTGGAAGCCAAAGGAGTTTGACAAGAATCAAAGAATCACAATGGGCTGGTGGTGGCTGTTTTGGTTATGTTCTTTTCAGCCATCAGGATGTTGCAATATGTATGAAGTAAGTTCGTCTTGCAGCACCGAAATGGCTAACAAAGCCCTGCAATTGACGTGCTGCTTAGCTGTCTAGGACGTTCTGCCTATGTGGGGTTCTCCAATCACCTCAAGGGTGTCAGTCAGTTTGTCTTTTTAGATACTAAGTGCAGCGATGAAATTCACTGACAAGGTGATAGATGCATGCAGTTAGGTTCTACTTTCGCTATCTATAGTTCATTTTCTGTTACCCTCCTTCATTTAAAGAGAACTGAGGCGCTAGATGTCTATGCGGTATGAATAATTTTGGATCGGTCTTGAAAGTTTAAGGGTTAGTTACCCCTGGATTTGCAAGATCTGCAAGTATTTTCTGGAAAAATTTGAATGAATTTGGGGAGTGGCGTTCGCTCCTTCGCCATTCTTATAAGTTTACATTTCTCCCAGTCATCCAGACGCGGGTCGAACCTTACTAGGATGCCTGTGCAAGGAATCGCTAGCCCTGGGTGAGAGAAAGTGACAGTCCATGGGGGGTGTTACTTCAACCCGAGGTCAATCTTTTGCCCAAAAGCTTCGTTGGGTTAGAGAATTGACCCGCAGCGTAGAGGATGACTTAACTCGTCCTTGGTCGGCCTTTGTTTTCATTGTGAAACTACGTGCAGCTCCTGTATTGGCCAAGAAGTCAATGCCAGATTTTTTATCCATTTTGTGGAATGAGAGACTGTCCAGGCACCCCCCTCTCATTAATCTCTTTTCGCAGGAGGAATCGTTAGTTTCCTTGTTGCAAGTGTGTTCATTTAGGGCAAGCGCACATCTGTGTGCATTTTTTCAACTTCGCACGAAACCTTCAGTTATATTAACAAAACGGGTTCTGACAGCACTAGCGTACCTGCACCTCATCATTCTTCAGCATGTTAGGTCAAAATCACTCGATTTCCTCGAGATGTTCTAGTCTAGCGTTAGCGGACGCTAGCCGACATCGTGTACTAGCAGCAGCGATGAACTGAGAAGAAAATAAAGTTGGCTGCCGAGCAGTTTCCAACCTTTGGTACGACTATCACCTTGAATGCAGACCACAATGCAGCTACGAACGATGATGCTGACGAGCTACTTAAATGCGGTAAAACACCTTTACATTACTGTAGCGCTGAAACCTAGGTGCGACCATCTCTGACCGCTTCCAACTATTAAGTAGCAAGATATTCGTCTTCTCAGAATACAATTCACTCCCGATGGAAGCTTACTATGATATAGTTGAGAAAATGGACATCAATGATTTTGGACTTACACATAGTCGGACTATTAACTCAAGGATAATATGCAATGTCTAACGAAGGAGGACAAACTCTACAGAGGATGTATTTTGGCTCCTAGTATGGGTTATTGTGTTTGTGCCTGAAGAGGCATTATGATTGTCTGTCATTGAAAATGGGGAGCATGAAATTAGTTCAAGGCTCCTGCAGTCGAAGTAATCAATACCTTCCTATATTTTTTCATTATAAATTATTTAAATTAATCCCAGCGTGTTAAGAGAATCAAAACAAGATTTTTCTGAACGTTTCTCTGTGTAAGCCACAGCTTCAATTTGTCTGAATAAGAATGATAGACTAAAACAGATTTCAACCTGGTTACAACACCTTCCTCCCCCATGAAGTGGCGAAATCAACACGAATGTGATAAACAAATTCATTATCTAAACATACGCTACTTTTATAATCTTATATAAGTATGAAATCCAAAAATCTACACCTGGTATTCTTATCTTTATTAATTGGCCAACTTGGCAACACGAAAATGACCCCATGTTGAGGAACGATGATTAGATCACTGTTTGTATGCGCTGAGATTTTGTAAATTTTGGTTTAATAATACTTTGATGAAGCTATTAGCAGCATTAAAAAGCGAAACGTCAGTGAAAACAATATCGTTTTGTTTTTCATTCATTGGGTTAATCGAAAAAACCTTTATTATAATGAATCACCTACATTTATATAAACTGCGGTGTGATCATTCGCTGTCTTCATATGTAGTGCTACAAACGTTAGGAGCAACATGGGATTAATTTTATCAAAGTGATACATGACGGAGTTTTAAAAATTTGGGATAACTATTTGGTATACTGCTATAGTAATAATTTATTGTAATGTTTAGTTGCTCGACCAATCCCACTAGTAAGAGTATAAATTAATTCCATTATTGGCAAAATTTATTTTGTTAAAGTCCCACAGTTTTACACAGTGATATCTACTGATAAAAACTACAATTACATAATCTTTGTCACTGACCATACATTTGAGTTTGTGTTCGAGTTTTTCAATTTCATTTCGTATATTATTTAGTTTCACAATAATTCGATGTTTTTCTCCTCATAGACATAATCTACTGACATGTTCGGCTGCTGATGTCTTTTTCTTGAAGTAATTGGAGTACGGAGGCATAAATATTTAGAATTACATGATTTTTTAAACATCGATTGTTTGCCGAACTACGAAGAAGCGTACTGAAGTGAGCTTGAAGAAATCATATTCATTAACACCAGTCCATTACGTTGGTGGCATAGCGGTTAGGACGCTCGCCGACCATGCACATGGTTCGGGGTTCGATCACCGGCCACCGACGCACTCCTTTACCTTGCTAAGCCAGAAATAAAACTGGTGAAGAGGAAAGGTTGGGCATGAGGCTAGCAACCCCATCCTGTAAAAATAAGCACTACTACAGAAACTTCAAGCCTCTAGCTTGAAGCCCTATGTTCCATTGGGAACGTGAAGGAATAATAATAAAAAACACCAGTTCATTGAATAGGTTGTTGGATGTCAGTTTGAAGGAGGTAAATTCGTTTCTTCAAGGTCACGGTAAGTGCGTTATGTGGATGTGAACTTACGTTAAGTTACGCACGTCATGTAACTTCTGAAAGTGTATTTACCTCTTATGGATATTGAAACGAATTTGATGATATAGAGATTTATTTTAGGTAGTCTACTAAACGCATTGTATTGATATATTGTGTATGGGCCTGCATGTGGATCACTACTTGTCGTTCTAACAATACTAACATAGGCAACAGTAAGGTATATACACCAAAGTCAAATGACCTTGAGTCAACCGATAAGATGGCTTGGTATTTAGGGGTTGACCTTTCAAACTTTTTCCCTCCCTATAAGAAACATTTATGAGATCACCACAAAACAGTGCTCAAACGGAGGTCTAATAAAATATGTGTGGAATTTAGATTCTCTCATGGAATGGTCAACGGCTGGAACTCCTTACCTGATTCAGTAGTAACAGCTCCACCGGTGATCGCTTTCAAAGAGAAACTAGTTCTCTGCAGAGATATATCCCAAGGATTAACATAAGCAACAAGAGCCTTCTATCCTTATAATCTGAATCTGGATGTTGCTCATAGTCTTCACTGCAAGTTTCACCCAGATATTTCAATACCGATGATACAACGATTAGTCCTCCTAGGCAGTACCATTTATACACGCAAGTGGGAAGGTTATTCTCAACTATCATCATTAGACTATAATCATCATAAAGTTAGTCATACTTCTGAATTAGTAAGTTCTATGAGTGGAATAAATTCCATTAGAGGATTCTGGGTCCATCTGAAAAGACGTATTATAATAGTAAATGGTTCCCTATATGATGTGATGTGTACAGCCACTTAGATTTTTTGCATCAACATTGGTCTAATATGTCTACAGACACTCCTATAAGAAAGTGGGACCAGATTCTACGGAATATTAGCGATTTATACCCTGTGTTAATCAGTTTTATTAGTTATACACCTTATAAGTAAATTATTTTTTAAGTATATGCCACTTTCCACCTAGAAGAATACATTTGGTAGATTCAAGGCCACTTAACTTTGGTGTCTGTTGTTTACTGTTGCCCTGAAGCTTAAATTAAAAAATTCGTTAGACAACTATCATTGCGAGATGTCATCTCGTAGCTCCCCACTACAACCACGTTACGACTAATATGGTTGAGAGTATGTTTGATAATTTACCAGTCATATGAAACAACTGATATCTGTGTCTTGCGGAGCGGCTGTTCGCTTTGTCCTTCTTTTTGGCTGCGAAACAGCAGTTGAAAGTGAAAGACTTGAATGAGCTAGCTGCCTTAAATTATAGTTGTCTATATTCAATATCCAGTGTTAAGTGGTATAATATAATGAGTAATGTTGTGGTTAAGCTTCGGTTATTAAGAAAGGGGTTATGAATCTACCTAGATTGTGATAGCTAAGCCTCGTGTCATGTGTGCTGGACTATTGCCTCCTTCGTCCAGCAATCTTGGCTGACATAGGATTGCGTTTGAAGAGTTAGATGAGGGCGATTAAATCAAAGCCTAGCATAAATCTATGAAGTATTTCATAATCGGTCGCAGCTAGCCACCTAGGTGGGTGTAGACCGATTTGCTGTTGACTTCAAAACTATAATAATCATAAGTTGGTAACAGTTCAAGATCTTTCTCAATATCCTAACAGAGAGAAATTACTTGAGTAAAACTTCTGTAACATAAGAACCGTCTTTATTACACTACCATTCAACGGTGACCAAATCATGCAATCGACAACTCGAAGACTTTGGTCAGCTGTCAAGAACGCATTCTACTCTGCATCCCTTCCTTTTACCTTTCGAACACTTCGAATTCCTGTGCTCACGACTAAATAACGAAATTCTGTGTATCTAAAAGTCCAACCGCACGGGGATTTTGCTGGATCACTTGTTTTGATTTTTGACGTCGTAGCGAACACAAGATTAGATCACAAAAAGAGTTAGGGATATTCAGATCAAACCATGACATCTATCCTTGAAGTCTTTGGCATTTGGTTTGAAGCAACCAAATAAGAAGTTGTAGACTGCCTGGTTGGTGTTCTGGACACGTTAAAAATCAGTAGCTTGAAACTAATCTTTGTCAATAACGGAGGTGGATTCACTCTTGGTAATCTCCCAGATGTATAAAGTCCTCATGTTTCTCTGTCTATTTATTCTTTCTCCCGTACATATCTGCTTTTTCTCTGCAACTGTGCTGTATGAAGTAAGTGGCTTGAAGCGTTGCACTTCTTTGCGAATTTCTACATTGAAAACTCAATGGGTCAATCATAAATAACTCTCACACCCACTATAGGTGTGGACGACTATCGACTGCATGGAATTGCAACCAGTGAAAATATTGACTAGCGTCTCATTCGTTTCACAAGGAAATGTAGGACCATACACATAATTTTAGCTTTTTTTTCCGAACTTTACTCAATACTCAGATTTATATATTACCATGTTTTTATGCTTCATTTTTACATGTTTTCCTCTCTCTCTCTGTCTCTCTAGACTAAACAAATTTCACTATGGTTGAAAATTATGAATATATGCCAAGAGCAAGGCAAGACCCAGATATTGAATATCCATTGACAGTGAAATATTGTGGTGGTTGGTATTGCTAATATTGTTGTTGTTTGAAATTTAAATTCAGAATGTACAATGCCATTAGAGTATTGTGAATTTTCACCGTTTCCTGATAAATGTCGATTATGGTTAGAAAAAAATCTGCCTGAAGAATTTGAACGACTCACTACTGGTAAAAAATATCTTTTTTGGGGGGATTTCATTGTATAATTTTTGACAGATGGAGGGGAGTCGAATCAAACTGAAGCAGCGCCTAAAGGACGTCAAGTAAGAGGTGGCAAGGGTACAATCAAGAAACCAGTTAAACAACAGATAGCAGTTTTCAAGACATCAAGAGGCAAGAAAAAGTATACAACCAGTGTTACCGGATTGTCTACATTTGGTAAGCGACATATTCACAATGATCATAATTGAGTAAATTTATTATTATTAATATTTAAACACGAGCTTGATAGATTATGGACATCAAGAGATGTGCAACACATAAAAAAAACTATAGAAAATATAATTTAGAATAAGTGGTGGGGGAGGAGGGTATGAAAAGCATTCGCAGAAGCGTTCATCGCTACTTGATGTTACTTTCAGAAAGGAGGGAATTACAATCTGTTCGCCTTTGATTACAACTCTTGACCCTATATGGTAACGTTTCAAGCAATTGATTCAGGATGCACTGATAGATTAACCAACCTACGTAATACAACTATGCTTAATCTCATGGCACAGCGTCATAGACTGACCGCATGTATGCTTTTTCCGCCTAGTATGTCTATTTGATTCAGCAACTTGACTCACGCTTAAAAAGAAAAGCATTCCCAACAGGCTACTGCAGACTTTCGTCAATACCTATCGGCTTCGTTGCCTCGATACTGAACATCAACTGGTCAGAATGAATAGGCAAACCAGAAGGAATTCTGTCAGGCAGTTAACTAGTCAATGGCTTATTGCCCAACAAAAATGCAGAAAAAAGTGGAGGTGGTTAGATTGAACATACTCTAAGGGGACTGTCGCCTTATGGCTATCCAACTATAAAAACCGCAAGCGGAACCCGATAATATCTCTTGCGACTAGGATCCAAAGAGTCTTGAGTTGGTAGATGAAGAGATCACTCTTTTGAGGAGAGGTTTCGCGTGCACTTCGGATTGTGAGGACCATTGTTACTTCCCGGCTGCCCACACCGTGGGAGTTGGTTGCGTGACCGCAGAGCCCAGGGGACGACTGCTTGAGGCCGGTCACACACTGCCTGTTTTTGTTTGTTGTTTTTCATTTGGTGTGTCTCAGTAGCATATCTATCACTTCTGTCTTGTGACACGGCAGCAGGAAGCGCGGTCGTTGTTAATCCGGGCCCCGACCGATCCGGCATGATATTTTGTGGATTTGTTTGAATCATGGTGTTGGATTGGGTAGCTGCTTTTTGTCTAACCGCTATCCAAACAACCTTTCTGGCATGGTAGGACCTACAGGAACATAAGTTCCAGCCAGTGTAGCTCGTTGGGTCATTGCGATATGCAAGCCTGACCACCACGTCAAGGTAGCAGCTTTCGGTCGGGTTACTTCAAAGATTACTTGCTACTCCTCACGCGACCTTCTTGCCGAAATTGATGAAGGGAATATCAAACGCCCTAAAAAGAACACTCCTTGCTGCCTGATGTTCTCCATTGACTCTAGATAAACTATGACATTTGACCATTTCTGTGTGTATCTGTCAATTCGCTTACTCTTGTGGAGCGAGATATATAAGTTGTTCGATGCGTATTATATCTAGAAAGGTCAGGGAACATTATCCCACTCAGGTACAGAAAGGTAATAATGGATCAATAAAAGAGTGCTATAATTGAACATATATTCAACACTGACCACTCAGTACACAAGAAGGATGCATTCTAAGTTATCTGCAAAGTCAAAAGAAACCCTCCGAAAATGGTGTGTTGCCGTATATTTGCATTGTTGTGAGGCCTTACCTATTCGGACGGAAAACCCGAATTTCCGCACACAGGAAAAACTTCTCCTTCTACCTTGTTTATGTTTCCAAGCACAAGTGTTATCAATATTTTGTTACTAGAACTATTTTGTACACTTTCTCGTATGCTATATATTAGCGTCATTTTCTTTACTAATCTTTTATTCACTCTTTTCACCTACTGCGTAATTTAATTTGATATTTGTCTCCATGTTCCTTCATCAAAATCCTTGTTTTTGGAACACGTTTTTCGTATTACGCAACATGAGTTTAGCCATCGGTGTATTAAAGTATTTCGATGATGTAAACAGTACTCTGAACCAGTCTTTTATTCTTGTGCTATGCATACACACACACAGAAAATAATTTTATAGATAATTGCGATTTCCCCAGCTAAATGAGTGAATTCACTAAAAAAAAGACTCTTCGCTCAACTGTTTGTTCTTATTTGTAGGTTTGTGTCACACTCATTGTCTTCGATATTTAAATGTACAGATTTCTATAGGATTATTGATTCACAGTAAAACGTGACTGGTTCCTAATAATTTAGTCCACTAAATCTAATTCGGTGGAGACTGATTCATATTGCATACATAGGCAATTCGATAGTGGATTATTACGATTCCACTACACATAGATAAACACCGGCCATTATGAGGAAAGAGGTGTGTGGTGTTTTTTTCTTTTTACTCACATGAATCATGAGCAGTCCAACAGATCTTAATTTCCGAACGAAAATTAACAGTTACACACATTGTTCTACTTTGTTGAAAGATGCTCATTGATAAATTTCAAAAGACTGATTAGTGTACGAAGAATTTTTTTTCTCAATAACCCTCTCTACATCAAGTTCTACAGTTTATATGCATGCATAATAATTAAAGAATAATTGTTATTGACAACATTAATGCTTTACTTAAATAAAATAAAATCTTGTTAGGTCAAGAATAAACCGAATTCGTGGCATAAAATGACGTCCTCACTCTATTTCACAGGTTTTCATCAGCTGAAAACTACCTGAAATTACAATTGTGTTTTAAAAGAAGGAAAATAACATGCTTCAATGTTTGAATCATGATTATTATTCTTCCTTTGGGTTCCTTGTGGAACATAGGGCTTCAACTGCACGTCTCCACTTGCTTCTGTCTTCTGCTGTACTTTTCACCTGCATCCATGTTAATGCATACTGTTTCAACTCTTCTTCACACAATCTCCTCCATGTCACCCACACTTGGACGTCCCACTCGCCGCTTCCCTTTCGGGTTCCAATCGAGTGATGGCCTGACGCGCGATGTCACCCAGTGGCTTCCTCAGCGAGTGTCCAATCCATCCATCTCCACTTTCTCCTGCATATTTGGTGAGCGATTGGTTCTTCTTTTGTTTGTTCCCATAGTTTCTTGTTGGTGATTCTTTCCGGCCATCTGAATAGTAGTAGACAAAATGTCATAAAAATTAACTCATGCGAAATGTTAACGGTACAATTTTTTTTTAGTGTATATAACCATCAATTTTATTAGCTTTCAAAGTAGAAAACGAGAAGGGCGAGAGGAGAAGACAGAAAACATAAAAATCTCTTAAACAATGTTAGCCTGCAAGTTCACATAGCAACTGATGAAGGCTGTAAGATTTCTTAAGATTGAAATAGACTCGGTGAGCTGAAATCACTAATATGAATGACTAATCAATGTAGTGAAAATGTGCCTACCAAGGGTGTGAGAGACTGTATGTATAAGCTTGGTGTGAAACGTGTGATTGCAAGTGCTTCAGCAAATCGTAGTAAATTTGCTGTCCTTTGTATGTTTAATATTTGGAAAAATTTGGAAATCTCGATGAAATCTTCCTTATCCACAAGCTGTCTGATAATTTCACTTTATTATTATCTGCTACACTTTAGGCATAAGTTTCTTGGTATATGCTCAGGGAACCTGATAAAAGCACTTCTTCCTGTCTTTCCAATGTACTTGCTACTTCAAGTGCACGTAAATTTAATAAACTCATTTGGAGGTGACGTCAGTAGGGTGCTTATCCAATTTACACTGGTTTATTGACTATGTGGTGCTCGAAAGTGTTACAAGCTTAGCTGCAGCGAAACATCTCTTTACTGCTCCTTTTATTGTTTTAGCCAATTGTATTTGATACTCCTCCTTTGAATGGAAGACCAATAAAGACTTTCTTCTCTTCAACAGTTGGGGTTTTCATTTCCTCGTCTTTTTCTTTGTTATATATCTAGGATAAATCTCTTGGGATATCTATTCTCGCTTAGACATTTCTCTCTCCAAAGCCCAATTCTTCTTCCAGCTTGTCAGGTGGAGTTCCTTCCTGGTCCTGTCGTAGTGTCCTCACTAATCTACGCTTATATTTTGTAGAACAGAAGCTGAAAATTTGGTCTTTCTTGCTTCATCGAAATTTATCAACAGATTACAGTTGGAAGGTATATCTGTCGGTAATTATATACATCAATATAATACTAAATTGAATATTAGAAAAATTAACAAAAATAATACGGAATTTATGAATTCAGTTTACAGTTTACAATTTATTTAGGATAGTGGGCTATATGCCTGTGTTAATCCTTTCGATTTGTTACACACAGGAGGTCCAATCTCGCCTTGAATGAATCAATGGATGGCGCTGATACGACGTGTTCCGGTAGGGAGTTCCAATGGTTCACAATCCGATGCGAAAAACGGATCTCCAAACGCAGACGATTCGACCGTGGTTTTTGAACCTTGAGGTGATGTCCTCGCAATTGGTTGGCGCTAGAAGGAAGAAATAAATTAGATAAATTAGCTCCAAAATCATTTCTTAGGATACGGTATGCTAGTATTAGGTCACCCCTAAGTCGTCTGTATGACAGTGGAAATAAACCCAGTCGACTTAACCTCTCTTCATATGAGAAGGTTGAGAAACCATTTATTAGCTTAGTTCCTACTCTTTGCACCCTTTCTAATAAGTCTATTTCGTATTTGAAACACTGGCTCGCTGCCTGGATCCCATATTCCAAATGAGGTTTGATATAAGTCGGATATAATATACGAAATATTTCAGCGTCAAAATTCGCAAAAGCCTTGCGTGTGGCCCACAATATTCGAAAACCCTTAGTGGCTGCAGCTCTACAGTTTGTTGCTGTTTTCAAGTCATGCTGCACAACCACTCCCAAGTCCTTGTACTCAGTGACCACTGGGAAAGTAATGCCATTCATTGAGTAATTGTGCACGTGACTATGAGATACATGCATAACTACACTCTTGCTTAAGTTAATCTCCAAGGCCCAGTGCTTACACCAATCACTTAACAAGTTTAAATCTTCCTGCAAAGCAAGTTGATCACTGTCATCGTGTAAAGCCCTCCATATCTTGATGTCATCAGCAAACAGTAAGCAGGATGACTTAACTACCGATGGAATCTCATTAACATAAATCAGGAAAAGAAGTGGGCCTAGAATTGTACCCTGAGGAACGCCACTCTTAACCGATTCCCATGTTGATAAAACCCCGTTAACTCGTACTCTTTGTCTTCTGTCCTTTAGAAAGTCTTGAATCCAGTCAGTGACCACTTTATTGATTCCCAGACTACCTAACTTTACTGGAAGACCTGAATGAGAAACCCTGTCAAACGCCTTGCTAAGGTCGATGAATATGGCATCCACCGGTATATTAGCATCAGCTGAGCTTGCCCAACTTTCTCTGGCCAAAAGAAGGTTGGTCAAGCAAGAATGACCTGCTCTAAAACCATGCTGTTCCACAGCGAAAAGTTTGTTCCCTTCAATGAACTGAATGTGATAGCATCACGAATTATTCTTTCTAGTAGTTTAACAACAATACTGGTCAAACTAACAGGACGATAGTTCTGAACTAAGTTTCTAGATCCGGTTTTGAAGACCGGACTAATGATGGCATCTTTCCAGTCAGTCTCTTGGACATTTAGACTGGTCCAGAGACATATTGAAGATTACCGACAATGGCTTGGCTCGGCTATGTTTTCAGCCAATGCTGTTAATATATGTGGGTGGAGTTCATCAGGGCCACTGGACTTACCAGGATTGAGCCTTAGAAGCCACTTTAGGACAGTGTCCTTTCCAATGTATAAGGGTGCCATTTTCAAGTTACCTTCTGGAAAAGTTACAAAGCTGGTATCAATATTATCAGAGAATACTTGACTAAAGTGCTTGGACAAAGCCTCAGCCTTAGTCAAGTTATCCTCAGCCATGTTTGTCTGGTCGTCTTCAAGCATAAGAGGTGGGATAGCATCACTCTTACGTGTTCTTCTCTTGATATATGAGAAGAGTCTTTTTCGGCAGCCTGGTGAACTTTTAACTAACTGGGTTTCGTAAGCTATCCTTGACTGGTGAATCGAAGTTTTACACTGGTTTCTGGTTTCACAGTATTTCAGCCGGAACTGCTGAAGCCCAGTAGAAACAAAGAGATTCCAGAACCTTTTTCTCCGTCTTAGGAGTGTTATGGCTTGTCTATTTATCCATAGTGGCCGGTTTGTTGGTCTTTTAGGAACCCTCCAGGGAATGAAATCAGTGGTAACCCTCTCAAGTGTATTCTTAAATCTATCCCATTCATCTTCAATGGATGAGACCATATTGACTGACCAGTCGGCAGTTGAAGCACGCTCCTTTATAGCGACTATGTCAGCATGCCAAACACTAGGTCGGGATTTGGGTTGAAAACTGACTAAATTTCCAACCCTTAAGTTAAAATCTAACACCCCATGATCACTATTTGCTAGAGGTGGATGAATAACTAGACCATCCACGTCGTCGTTGTCATGAGTAAGCACCAAGTCCAGCAAGGAAGATCCTTGGGTAGAACCGAATCTTGTACTACCTAAGACATGTTGTGTCAGGGCATTTTCCATGGTAGTCAAGAGTAACCGGCTGTCAAACTTATTAGCGGATCCTGGAGATGTGACAGCTACCCAGTCTATATGAGGTGCATTAAAATCACCTAGAATAAGACAGCTACTGTGTTTACTCCATTGTTTGAGGTGATCTAAAATAAAGTCATCACACTGACAATAGGGACTTCTATACAGAACTCCAATGAGTAGAGTGCCAGTTGCAAAGCTTACTTCACAGCTAATTACTTCACTTGTCCCACTGTCATGCGCTTCAGATTTCACGGAACCCACATGTAGGGAGTTGTTGATGTACAGAGCAACTCCGCCACCTCTACGACCCTTAACCCTGTCGCTGCGCAAGCAACTAAATCCGCATAGCTCAGGTGTGTCATCTAATCCAGAAACCAGCCATGTCTCAGCAATGACCACAATACCTGGGCTAAGGTCTTCCACTAATACACCTAGCTCGTGAAATTTGTTCCCGATACTACGTATATTAGTGTACACTACCTTGAGGCTTCCTATGCGGTTTGGCTTATCCACACAGGTCTTGGAAGCATACGTTTCCAAGACCTGACTATTTGAAAACCCACCAGTTTAAGGTTAGTCTCACCATTTTTACGTCTTGTTTCTAGCTGGGACAAAACTTCTTTTCGTTTAAGTCTGTCTTCAAGAGATCAATCAGGTCTGACTGAAATTCCTGACCCGGAAGGTTGTGTACATTAGCCAGTAGATGATTCCGTTCATCAGGAGAACCTAAGGCTACTTTAAGCAACCTACGCTGATTAGAACATTCATCATCTCTTTTGCCTATTCTAATCAGCTTTTTAATCGATACTCCATGGAAATTCGCTGGGAGCATCTTCCTTATAATACTACTCACTAATTTAAGGTCGTGATCGTGCCTTTTCACGGGATCAGATTCTTTCGAGTCTTCTAAATTTCCATTAATTATGTTAGAGTCTAAGGAGAGCTTGTCGTATTCAGCAAGTTACCACCATTGAAGTTGTTTGAGTCGATCTCCCCGCCAGGCTAATGGCTCGATATCATGCTGAATTCCATCTTACTAAAATACGATGTGATCAAGCTGTAATCAATTTTAAACCTACTAATTATATTACTTCACTTGGTACTTCTCCTTTGACCTGCAGTTGCATATGTAGAGGCTTGTTGTTTACAGATACAGAACACATTTCTTGTTGACTTCCTTAGCCATGTGTTTCATGATAGCTATTCTCATTTCTGGTGTCATATAGAATGTTAGGTTAATCTTCAATAACATCTTCTGAACTTGTAGCCGTGATGCTGTAGGTGAATGTCCACACGGAATTTCTTTTGTAAACTAGAGAGGAACAAAGGTGTGAAAATGTTCTGTTCATGTACTTTCCTTATATAAATAATTTTGTTTACGTCCGGTTTTGTTTTACCATCCGGTATTCTTGTGGGAGGGACATCCAAGAAGGTAATTAATTTTATTTTGTGATTCTTCTTCACACGACGAAGTTAGCGAAAAAATATTTACTCATTCACTAATCACAGTCTTTCTTCCTGTTCTCTTTCGCATTCAATGAAGGAATCGATTTGAAAGCAGCTGCTAAAGTATTTGGTCGTAAATTTGCAACTGGTAGTTCCGTGACTGGGAATGGTGATGAAATTGTTGTACAAGGTGATGTAAAAGAAGAATTAATCGAAACATTAATGGAAAAATGGCCAGAAGTAAGTAACACTGAATCTTTTTTCATTCCCTTTTATTTTCTGAGTGGATTGCTGCCGGAGGAGGGACGGGGGCGGGCAATGTATTTGTTTTTAACCGGGCACGTAGATGCTAGCCTCACACCCAAATTTCCCTCTTTCCTTTGGAAATAAGCAAGGTTTTGGAATGCGTCAGTGACTGAGGAATCAAACCTGGACTTACCATGCGTTGCGGCTAGCGAGCATTCTATTATTGAGCTGTCGATACACATCTTATAGTTAATTTATTCAGTTGAAGATTTGTATACATTAGTACATAACTAAACTGTTTTTCTAACATTGTAGTCATACAATAAGTGTGAGTTTCGTTAGATGCATGAATAGTCAATTGATTGTCCAGGTATAGTGTGAAACGTATTCACTCTAGAGAATTTCCAGTTAATTCTAAAATACTTCTAATTGTAGCATCTGATTTTGTAAGTGAAAGTGGAAGTGGAATTTCACGGCCTCGTCGATTGATTTCCCCTCCTTACCTAGCACTCGACCGATGCCTTACCTCAATATTGCTCACCCTATTATACCACTACACACGGGAGATAGAACGCAGGCACCTATGATCAAAGACAGCTAATCTTTTCATGTCATCCACTCTCAATGGTCAGGTCTCGTAGCCATAAAGGAGGACGGGGCTGACTGCTGAGCAGTACACACACCCTTTGGTCAATAGTTGGATATCACGAGTACGCCAGAGACGGCGTAAACTGTCATATGCGAAACTAGTGTTCTGTATCCGTCCTGAGATTTCGTCAGAGATCAACCCGTTGGGGCTGATGGTACTTCCCAAATAAGTGAAGCGGTCAACGTGCTCTACCACTTCACTTCCTATTTCTAAACTAGGAGTCAGTGTAGTCCAGTCCTGTAACATCATCTTACATTTGGTGGGAGCGAATCGCATGCCAAACATTCTTAGATTGCAGCTCTCGGTGTTCAGAAGACTCTGCATTTTGTCAGCGTCCTCGCCTAGAAGGACCATAACGTCTGCATATTCTAAGTCAACGAGGTTATTCCCTGGTAGCAAGTCAATCTCTGTGTCTCTGAAGTGTGTTAGGGTTAAGTCCATTAGTACGTCTATGATGAAGTTGAATAGGAATGTGGATAATGGGCATCCTTGACGGACGCCACTAGTCGTCACCACTTCAGATGACAACTCGCCATAAGCCCTCACCTGGCTGATGGCATGAGTACGAGTAGAGTGCCTTAATAAGTGCAATGTATTTTCTTGACATTCCTTTACAGCCAAGCATCGCCAGAGTAACTCTCGGTCGACAGAATCGAATTCCGCCTTTAGGTAAAGAAATATAAAGATTGTTGGACGCCGGTAGGAATGCCTATGTTCTAGAATCTGTCGAAGGGTGAAGATTTTCTAAGTAGTTCAAATCAAGTATTTAAGTAATTCTAACCTGAGATTATGTCAACCACTGGTGTTCATCAGGGCTGCTAGAATTCTTTTATCTGTGAAACAGATTTTCTCATGTATCAGGATAAAAGCCAAATATACATACTGTGAACAAGGCTGGTAATATTACTACTCATTTGACCCCCCCCCCTCCCAGACTAAATTAACTGAAACTCGGTCTGACCTAGGCAGCCACTAGCGTCTAAAGAAAGTTCACTGTTTGAACTGACAATCCAAATCATCAATAGAGATGGCCATTGTTTCTATTTACTGTTCGATATTCTAATAGATGTACTAATAATTGTAAGTCTGCATGAATCGGCCACTAGCTGATAAACAGTGCGGTCGTCTTAGTCATTAGTATGTTGATTGACATCTATCAATGAAGTTTACCCTTTGATCTAACTGGTACGACATTTATGTAAACTGCAGTGCGCTTTCCACTATGGTGTTATATTTTAGGAGTCATTGAGCGGTGGCACTGTGGGCCACCTATATCTTGGGCTTATTATTGACACGTGTAAGCTGCTGAGTTTTGAAGATCAGTGTGTGTGTGACTTCAGTCGATCACTTTCTCTTGAACACAACATGGTTAACAATGTTGGTTGTGATGGACTCACTGTCTTAGGTAACTAGGGTTAGTCTGCCGAGAAGGTTCTGGATCTTAACCACGATCGAGGTAGTTAAGAGTATATTATCTTCGATGAACAATACTGTCCAATATAAAATTTAAAGCAATTAGTTGCCTTTATCTGTCTGTTTTCGACATAGAACTTTGCACAGATGTGCGGCAGTTCAAGTCGCCACACTCCCTCCATGTAGCACACAAAGCAAGAGAAGAAAGTAGGAGAAATGCATAATATAGACAGTAAACAGAGGTGTGAGACAAAGGAATAGTAATAACGAAGAACAAAACAGTTTCATTGGAAATCATAAGTCACAAGGAGTGGATGCATCTGCGCCAGCTATTGAGAACGATTTTGAGCCATGTCACCAATTGTTTCCAACCATTGGTTTTTACCGTCCCGAGGACCCCAACCAGTGAGGAAGTCTACACCTTCCTACGTGACTGGCCTAGACTAACTGTTGTAGATTTCATTGACTGGTGCCATGTTTTGGTTTGACCGCCGCTAGCTAGCTCTTTTCCAGCCTGACCCTATATCAGCTAACATTGCCCATTGTCGAGGAAGGCGATGACTAGGCATGATACGTAACACATGTCCTAACCATCTCAGTCGATGTAATTTCACAACCTCGTCGATTGATTTCCCCTCCTTACCTAGCACTCAATCGAGGCCTCACCTCAATATCGCTCACCTTATTATACCACTTCACACGGGAGATAAAATGCGGACAACTGTGATTAAAGAGAGCTAATCTTTTCGTGTCGCCTTTCTGAATTTTGACAACACAATAAGCAGACGTAGTTTATCAGAAACGTGTAGTGTAATTGTGCAACGCATTTAAGACATTCTGATCACACACGTACTTAGATTTGATGGAGAAGATTCGTAGCAATGGGAATGAGGAATCCGAGAACGAAATCCGATTTTCAGACGTCTTAGTCAAGCGAACAACCACAAGAAAATTAGAAACTCAAGTGAATAGAAAATCAGCCCTCATAGATCAAATACTCAATTAGAAGAGCAACAATCCAATAACACACAAACGGCATTGCATACAAACACAATTCAAGAGCGCCAGCGAGGACTCATTGCAGCACTCCCACCTTAGGGAAAATTGAAGAATGGTATCTCATGGACGTCTTCCCCTAAAAAGGATATCCACGAAACTTCATCAAAAGACATCTACCCCCAAACCTCACCAAACAAATCAAGGGCCCCCAAGGAAAGCACAAAGAAAATCACCCTACCACATATAAAGGACATCTCAGAAATCACTCCGAGACTCTTCAAACCTTTAGGAATTGACGTCGCACACAAACCAACAAAATCACTTCACTCAGCTCTATGTCAACCAAAAGACTCAACAGCGAAAGAAGATAAAACTAACATCATCTACAAAAATAAATTGCGAAAAACACTACATTGGCCAAAGTGGACGTCCCCTTCGTTTTTGTATCCGTGACCATAAGCTAGCCGTCAAAAGACATGTCATCCACTCCCTCATATCGCCTCACTACATACAGACAACCACGGACATCAATTCAACTGGGACAAAGTTCAAATATTAGACAGAGGAAACACCAAGAATGCTAGTGAATTTTTAGAACCCTGCTCGGTATTCCAGTGAATCCGTCAATCAATAGACACATCGACATACACAAAATTTACCAATCGATAAGAAGGAAACCTCACACACAAAGGGTCAAAGTTCAAGTCAAGGAAACAATTAATCCCAATACAAGTAGCCTAGAGGGGTGTGAAAACACACAAAAACAACCAATCACGTTCAAGGTCACCAGGAGAGATGACTAATAAACTCGTGGAGAAATCAAAAAGCTCACTTCAAATTGAAGTATGCGCTGAGGACGTTGCTTAGTAGGGCTATGAAAGCTTCGTAAATTAACTATCCAGCTCAGAGAAGACAACTACATCAAAAGCACACGTACTTGTCATACAGTTTTATAGAGGGTAAGAAAGCGTGAATCACTACAGTACAGGTCAAATTGTGTACAGATCAAGGTCAAAAATAATGGGTAAAGAGATGATGGAAAGGTGTGGGTAGGAAAGAAAAAAACAAAGAAGAGGTTGAAAATATTATGAAGTAAATTTATCCTTGGTTCTAAATTGGATTTCAATATATTAAATATTCCCATATTAAAATTTAGAACAACACATTTAAGCGAACAATATTGTTTTCAATTAGATCTCATCAGGCTTAACTCTAATATACATAAGTTTACAAATAAAAATTCAAATATAAACCAATCATGGTGTTTTGTCTATAGGATAATAAGATGGTGAATATAAATTGTGCAATTAGTCATAATAGTAGTAATGATTAAATAATAATAATAATAATAATAATAATAATAATGGTCTTATCAATAATAAGGATAAAAAAGTGAGGCAATCTGTGATAACACGAATAATGAAAAACAGCATGATTAAACAAACAACTGTTCAGATGGAAGTAGTCGATAAAGGCTAGTAAAAACAAATGAACCGATTAAGTAATGTTAGATTGTAAGGGAAGTAAATGAAACACGTTTATAATGAAGATGTGATAAGATTAAGGGATGATAAGAAAGGGGTTGAAAATATAAACAAGGGGTGGTGTAGAAGTCACTAGTTGCTTATGTCTTAATAGGCCAAGGGAGGGATAATGACTGTACGAACTTCTTTTGAATGCATAGTTGAGGTTTAATAGTTCGAATGCCTATCGCCTCAGCTGTGTGCAGTAAACGAATACGAAGTCTATTGGAAAGATTCGGTGGGATACGATGAATTACTTTGAAGGCTCTCATTTTCTCCACTACATTATTATTATTACTATTGTTTCCTTTAATTCCTAGAGGAACATAGGGCTTCAGCCGTGCGTCTCCATTGCGTTCGGTTTTCTGCTAGAGTCTTCACCTGGCTCCAAGTCTGCCCACACGTTTTCA